GCACCTGGGATGACTCAAAGGTTAGATTCAATGGAACTGTTGACTGGGGTACCTCTGTCTGGTCTCTCCACATGGATTCTTACAGCATGGAAACTGTTCTGAAAGGACCTTCTAGAGAGAAATTTTCAAGGCAACCAGAGTGAAGCCACCTGGTTTTACATGACCTAGCCTTGGTGATCAGTCTCACTTCTGCTAAACCCAGGGCAAGGTAATACTGCAGAACAGTGGATGGCGTGAAAGAATTGTTCTGGCTGTCTTTTCTTTTTTAGTGGGACTGGGGTTGCCAAGTAGGAGCTCTACTGCTGGAGCCACACCTCCAGTCCATTTTGCTCTGGTTATTTTGGAGATTGGGTCTCATGAACTATTCTCCTGGGCTGGCCTCGAACCAAGATCCTCCCAATCTCCACCTCCCAAGTCTGGCTGTGTCCCGAAAATGTAATCTATCTGTGTATTTATTTATTTATTTATTGGCAGTACTGGGGTTTGAACTCAGGCCCTCACACTTGCTAGGCAGGTACTTTACCACTTGAGCCACAGCCACAGTTTTAGCTATTTTGGGGATAGTGTTTTATGTTTTTGCCCCAGCCAGCTTGGACTGCCATCCTCCTATTTATGCTTCTTGCATAGCTGGGATGACAAGTGTCATCACACTATGCCCAGCTTTTGTTGGTTAAGATGGGGTCTCATGAATCTTTTTGCCCAGGCTATCTTCAAACCTTGATTCGCTTGGTCTCCACCTCCCGGGTAGTTGGTATTACAAGTGTGAGCCAATACATCCTGCCCTCTATTTATTTTTAATGACAACACTGTCCCTAAGTATATTATCAGTAGTTTTCTTTCTTCACCTTGCACGGTCTGTTTTCTTTGAACATTTAAGGGACTCCCTCTGTAAGTAGCATTATTTAAGCCACTTTTTTCTCTTGGCCTCATTGAATTCCTCTTGCCTTGGCTTCACAGCCAATGTTCTGAGAACTGAGACGCATAGTGAAGCCAGAGAGAGGAGGACATCTCTGTGCTCCTTGGGCCCAAGTCCCTGTTTTCTGCACGGGAGCCCAGAAGGCTTTTCCTGGGATCTGATGTACTTTAGTCTCAGAATCTTGTGCAAAGGTTAAAGCTTGGGGCTTGGGTCTTTGCCAGGTTGAAGTAGAAACCCAAATGCTTTGTGAACAGCTGCCAAGCGTCCCTTCAAAGGTACTCTTGTCACCAGTCCTGGGCCCTTTGAAGATTCTGTAGTGTAAATACAGCTGGTTCTTCCTCTCCAACTGTCAGTCCAGGATTCCTGGGTCTGCTTACTTCCCCATGTGCTCCAAGTTCATTTGCTTCGTCCTCTCCCTCCCTGCCAGAGTCATTTTGTCTGCCTTCCCACCTCAGTGAGTACTCAGGTGTATCCTCACCTAGAGCCAGTGGTTGTTCTTATGCTGGAACTCAGGGTGCGACCATATTGTCACCTGAAGGGCACTTGATACTGTTCCTGTTGTCCTCTTCCTTGACTAGCCCTCCTTAATAAAACAGAACAGAACAGAGTTTATTTTCAGTATTTTTAGAACTTAGCATTCTTACATTTCTCTTTTTTTTTTTTTAGTCACATGTTAAGAGTTGTTGTTTTCAGGTACGGTCTTTCCTTCTCATAGAGGGATTATTTTGCTCCATTTCTTCCTACATTAAGTTTTCAACTTGAACTAAGATTTTTGGAGACTAAAGCTGCACTAGAATAGCCTGGCTTGTTCACTTGTTTACTTCTCTTTGTAGATTTTGTGGTAGCCCCTTCCCTGTGAAATCCTCTTTTCCCGTCTCTTCCAAGTTTTACTTAACAAAATGCTCCAGGTGTTGAAGTTAGGAGTTAATGAAAATTTCTTTTTAATGATCTGCTCTTTATTTATCATGGTATAAAATATATAAAATCAAAAGCCCCGGTAGTCTATGCAGGTGTTACTTAAACCAGAGGGGCAAGAGCAGAACATAGTATCTACTACCTTTTCCCAGTGGTGTTTTTTGTTTGTTTTTGGCAGCACTGGGGTTTGAACTCAGGGCCTCACACTTGCCAGGCAGGTGCTTTACCACCACTTGAGCCACTCTGCCAGCTTTCATTGTTTTTTCATTTGAAGTTGTTAGTGAATCCATTGCGTATTCTTGCTGTCTTCAAAATTCTTTGTTTTTGTCTTTCAGCAGTTTGGTTCTGAAGTGTCTAGGTGAGGACGTTTTTGAGTTCATACTCTTCTGAGCTCATTGAACCACAGGGTACAAATTAATTTTTATTTCAATTTTAATAGACTATCTTTTGGAGCAGTTTTAGGGTCTTCTTCTTCTTCTTCTTTTATTGTTGTTCTGGGCAAGTGGGCAAGGTTATGTTGCAGTTTTAGGTTTACAGAAAAATTGCACAGAGCCAGGCGTGGTGACTCAAACCTGTAATCCCAGCACTCAGAAGGCTAAAGCAGGAAGATTACAAGTTTAAGACCAGTCTGGGCTACACAGATAGACATTGTCTCAAAAAAAAAAGCACAGAAAAGTAGAGTTCTCATATACTTCTCAGTTTCCCTTTTAATCATTGGTATGGTATGTTTGTTACGATTAAACCAAAATATATACTTTTTTTCTTTTTACAGTGCTGGAGACTGAAGCCAGGGCCTCCTCTGTGCTAGGCAAGTGCTCCACTACTAAGCCACACCCCTAGCCCTAATTAATTACTGACAATTCTCATGGAAGTCGCAGTCTTTATACCAGTCTGGGATCGACAGATATCTAGTGTCATTGACCACCAGGACAGCATCGTGAATATTCACTGCCCTAGAAAATGCCCTGTGCCTATCAGTTTGTTTCCGTTCCCCCACCCCTGCAATGCTGATCCTTTGTTGTCTCTCGTGTTGTCTTTTCCAGAATATCATGTGGTTGGAACCACACAGTCTGTAATCTTAGCAGACTGACTCCCTTCACTTAGCAATGTGCATTCAGAGTTGTCGCTGTCTGTGCGTCTCCGTAGCTCGTTTCCTGTCATTGAATACTATTCCATTGTGTGGACATATGGCAATGTGTCCATCCATTCACCCATTGCAGGACATCTTGGTTGTTACCAGATTTGGGCAATTATAAATAAAGTTTCTATCAACATTCTGTGCAGGTTTCCAGTTCATCTGGGTAAATGCCAGGAACCGGATCGCTTGGTTGAATGGTTACTTCTAACTTTCTAAGAATTGTCAAACTGTTTGCCAGGTGGCTGTAACATTTTGTATATGTAGAACTCTTAGCTGCTTGAATGTACAGGTGAGTTGATTGATTGATTTATGTTTTGTTTTGTTTATAACTTTACCGTTTTTACATTTTAGGATTGATTTTTGAGGTAGGGTTTCAGTCTGGGCTACAGCCCAGGCTGGTCTGGAACTCATGACCATCCTGCCTCAGCCTCCTGAGTGCTGGGATTGCAGGTGTGCACAACTATGCCTGGCTTATGGATGAATTTTTTAAAAATCAAATATGGGAAGTTTTTAAACTTTATTTAAATATTCCTTCTGTCCCCCTCTTTCTCTCCTTTCTTCTGGGACTCCCGTTGTCCATTTGAGATGATGACTCTCAGGTCTACTAAAGGCTCTTTTTTTTTTCCCTAACTTTTTTTCTTTATATTCCTCAGACTGGATGCCATCGAACCCTTCTAAACAAATTTTCAGGCCAGTGATTCTTGTAACTTTTCCGTTCCAGGTTTCTATTGGTTTTTATTAAATATATTCCCTTTACTGAAATTCTTACTTTTGTTAGCACCCATTCTCATAATTTGTTTAGGTCTCTGAATATATTTATAACAGTTCACTTAAAGTCTTTGTTTAGTTAAGCCCAGTATCTCTGCTTCCTTGGGGATAGTTTTATTGACTACTTATTTCCCTTATGTATGGGTCAGGTTTTCATGTTTCTTTTTTGTTTGTTTGTTTAAAACTGATCATTTTATAATATATGTCAACTCTGGAAATCAGATCTCTACTTCTACTTCACCTGAGGCTCATTTTTCTTGGCACTTATTTGTTTAACGGTTTTCTTTAATGCTTTCTTGATAAGTTTTCTGAAGCTTATGTTTGTTGTGTGAGGCCACTGAAATCTCTGCTCATTTAACTTCATGGTCTGCTAACAATTGGACAGATTTCTATAAATGCCTTTACTTAATAAGAGATAGTATGGCTGAGGGAATATCGTTGCTTAGTGTTTTGTTTTGGTTTTTTGTAGCACTTGGGTTTGAACTCAGTACCTCATGCTTGCTAGGCAGGTATTCTACCAGGAGCCACTCAGCCAGACCTTTTTTGTGTTGAGTTTTTTCAAGATAGTGTCTGTTGAATTATTTGCCCAGGGGTCTGGCTTCGAATTGCTATCCTCCTGATCTCTGTCTCCCGAGTCGCTAGGATTATATGCATAAACTACCAAGAGCCCGACTAAGTAGTGATTTTTTCTTTCTTTCTCACCTTTGTGTTTTTGTTTTGTTTTTTGGCCAGTACTGGAGTTTGAACTCAGGGCTTCCCAGGCTTGAGCCGTAGGACGAATCGTGGTGGAAATTCTTGAGTGTTTTAACAGAATCATTTGCCTTCTAAGAGAGCTTTGGAGTAGGATGGTGGTCCAGATAGGTGGAAGAAAATGAGATTAGCAGTTTATTCAACTACAGCATTACCACCAGTATGCCAGTGAGCACTGGGAATCTTAACAGAGAGGATCAGATATATCAGATTTTCCAGTTTTATTGGACCATTAAACTGTTGCGCCATACACATTTTGGGAAATGCTACTAGATTTTCCTTTCAAAGAGTTTAGCCTGGCCAGGTGCCAGTGACTCGATCCTAGCTACTTGGGAGGCTAAGATTGGGAGGATTGCAGTTTGATGCTAGCTCAGGCAAATACTTCCTGAGACCCCTCATCTCCAAAATACCAGAGCAAAATGGACTGGAGGCATGGGTCAAGTGATAGAGCTCCTGCTTCACAAACATGAAGCCCTGAATTCAAACCCAAGTCTATCCACCACTACCACCACCACCACCACCACCAACAAAACCTTTACCCTTCAGCTGGGGATGTAGCTCAGTGGTAGAGTACTTCCCTAGCATGTTGAGGGCCTGAATCCATTCCTAGTACCGCAAAACAAACAAACAAACTAAAGCTTAGCGTAAATTTCAGGATCTCCAAACACAATATTAGAAAAATAAGTAAGATTATGGAAAAGAAAATTTAAAAGAGATACTAGCTAAGGATAATTTTGAGGGAAAAGTAAATACGTAGCATTTCTGAGTACACTTTCTGAGTATATATCATCCCCCTCACTGACTTCCCTTTTCATTTCACAGATTATTTAAACAGCCTCGGGATACCTCACTGGTGCTGGATGCCTTGTACATGTAAACTTGGCAGCATGAGAGCTACTCTGAATAGGCGCAGGGCGTTACCAGGAAACATCACTAAATGACTCAGACTTCCTGATGTTTTAAATGGTAAAAAAGTCTGAATTCTCAACGTTATTCTGGACTCATAATGGTCATTTATTGCTGTGAGCCAGTGGCTCACACCTGTAATCCTAGCTACTCTGGAGGCAGAGATCTGGAGATCAGGGTTCAAAGCCAGCCTGGGAAAATAGTTCGCAAGACCCTATCCTGAAAAAACCCCTCACCAAAAAGGGCTGGTGGAGTGGTCAAGGTGTAGGCCCTGAGTTCAAGCTCCAGTGCCGGAAAAAAAAGATCATTTATTTACTCTTATTTGCATTATTAATATTCACAGTTTATTTCCTAGTGAAATTAGTGTGTTAATTCTGGCGTTAAAAACCTGTTTTGAGTAAGGGATGGTGACACGCACCTGTAATCCCAGTGTTCAAGAGTTTGAGGCAAGAGGATCAGAAGTTCTGAGCTGCATAGTAAGTTCCAGGCCACTGGAAATATATAGCAAGATCCCGTCTCAAACTAAACAAAACAAATGAACAAAAACAACAGTGACAACAACAAAAAAACTGGTTTCAAATCTATAAATTTAACATGTATACAATTAATGATTTTTTTAAATGACATCTATTAGTTGTAGAACCAATTATCAAGTTATAAAATTGTTCTTTAAAATGAAACAGTATTTGAATATTTTGTAAGCTTTTTTTTTTTTGATGGGGCTGGGGTTTGAACTCTGGCTTTAAGATTGCTAAGCAGGGATGTGAGGGCGATCTCGCTGCGACATCTGTCACCCCATTGATCGCCAGGGTTGATTCAGCTGATCTGACTGGCTAGGCGGGTGTCCCGTTCCTCCCTCACTGCTCCATGTGCGTCCCTCCTGAAGCTGCGCGCTCGGTCGAAGAGGACGACCATCCCCGATAGAGGAGGACCATTCTTCGGTCAAGGGTATACGAGTAGCTGCGCTCCCCTGCTAGAACCTCCAAACAAGCTCTCAAGATTGCTAAGCAGGCTCTCCTACCACTTGAGTCATGCCTCCAGTCCATTTTGCTCTGGTTATTTTGGAGATGGATTTCTCAAACTATTTGGTCAGGCTGGCCTTGTACTGCGATCCTCCTGATTTCAGCCTCCCAAATAACCGGGATTATAGGCATGAGCCACAGGCTCTGGACTATAAGCATTTTATACAGTAAAGATAGGTTGGGTTTCTGGAATTTTAATATAGACAAAAGGTCTGTCATAAATGATGATTATTTTGCAAAGATTTAATTATTATAATCTAATATGACCATTAAGGAAATGCAAGACGGTTCTGGATTATGTATATCGTCTTCCTGTAGTGCCTGGCATGGGTGTCAGCCCAACACTCTCAAGTCTGACCTTGTTTTGGCTAAATCTTTCCATTGAGCTTTAAAACTCTGTTGAATTACTCTGCTGTCAAAGATTCTTACAAGTCCCAGTCATTTCTGGGCTCTTTGTGTGTCCTAAGTCAGGAAAACACACACTGAATCTGATCTCTTCCTCTTCTCCGCTGCTGCCACCAGCTGATGGCCGCACATAGATGTCAGGAGTAACATTCCTGAGATGTGTAGTGATTTCAGTGCAAGGGGCACTAATTCTTAGAGTTGCCACAGAATCAAAACTCCCCAAGTGTGGACAGTTCTATACTTATAGCCTAGGTCCTCAACTATGCTCTGCACTTCAGTATACCTGAGAGGTCAAATATTGTAGGATATTTTAGGACATCCTGTACTAGGCTTTGCTGGCTGAGTCCTACACCCCCACCTGTAGCTTTCACACTAGAGACTGGATTTCCTGTAAAAATATCTCTCTTCCTCTGATTAATCCACTTTATTTTTGTTTTAAACAGTTGGCTTCATAGCAAAGGGACGGTTTTTGAGCCTGAGAAGATACTGTAAAAGACTGTCTTTATATATATCATTTCTGTTTTTCTTTTAGTGTTGCCTACCTTTCAAGATGCCTTTGTTCTTCTGACAAATACAGCCAGTAACTCATAAGGCCATAAAAGAGGGAAAATCGGAGGGGAAACCACTGGTGCCCAAAGAACAAGATCGCCCTTAACAGAGGGAAACTTCTGATCGTTGTTTGAAATGCTGAAGAATTTACTCCGGAGGAGACTTTTTTTTTATTTTCCCAATAAATACTACTGTATGATCCTTGTTTTGTCCCTAGTCACCTTCTCTGTTTTAAGGATCCATCAAAAGCCTGAATTTGTAAGCATCAAACACTTGGAGCTTGCTGGAGAGAATCCTAGCAGCAGTATCAATTGCACCAAAGTTTTACAGGGTGATGGAGAAGAAATCCAAAAGGCAAAGCTCGAAATGCTCACAGTGTCATTCAGAAGGCACCCTCGGTGGACAGTGGCTGACTACATCAACATGACCGGTGACTGCGCCTCCTTCATCAAGACACGCAAATACATCGTGGAGCCCCTTAGTAAAGAAGAGGCGGGCTTCCCAATTGCCTATTCCATTGTGGTTCATCACAAGATTGAAATGCTTGACAGGCTCCTGAGGGCTATCTACATGCCTCAGAACTTCTACTGCATCCACGTGGACAAAAAATCAGAGGACTCCTTTTTAGCAGCGGTGACTGGCATCGCGTCCTGTTTCAGTAACGTCTTCGTGGCCAGTCAGTTGGAGAGTGTGGTCTACGCCTCCTGGAGTCGGGTCCAAGCTGACCTCAACTGCATGAAGGACCTGTACAGAATGAGTGCAGACTGGAAGTACTTGATCAATCTTTGTGGGATGGATTTCCCTATTAAAACCAACCTGGACATGGTCAGGAAACTCAAGTCATTCATGGGTGAAAACAACCTGGAAACAGAGAAGATGCCATCCAATAAGGAAGACAGGTGGAAAAAGCATTATGAAGTCATCAATGGGAAACTGACCAACACAGGGAAGGCCAAAGAGCGTCCCCCACTCAAAACTCCTCTCTTTTCAGGCAGTGCCTATTTTGTGGTCAGTAGAGAATATGTGGGGTATGTGCTAGAAAATAAAAACATCCAAAAGTTTATGGTGTGGGCACAGGACACATACAGCCCAGACGAGTACTTCTGGGCCACCATCCAAAGGATCCCTGACGTCCCGGGCTCACTGTCCGTGAACCATAAGTACGACTTGTCTGACATGAATGCAGTCGCTCGGTTTGTCAAGTGGCAGTACTTTGAGGGTGACATTTCCAAGGGTGCCCCTTACCCACCCTGCAACGGGGTCCATGTGCGCTCAGTGTGCGTTTTTGGAGCTGGTGACTTGAACTGGATGTTGCGCAAGCATCACTTTTTTGCCAATAAGTTTGACATGGACGTGGACCCCGTTGCCATTCAGTGTTTGGATGAGCATCTGAGGCATAAAGCCCTGGAGATGTTAGAACACTGACTTCTGGAGGCGCTTTCAGGAGTAATAAGAATGACACACAAAATGTGTCCTCATCCGCTTCCTCTGCCTTGTCAGGATGCATCAGAAAAATTGTATGGAGTCCTTTTTGGGGTCAAGACTTAAAATTTCATGTCAGCAGCTGCAGGATTTCTGCAGAGCACAATCGGTTAGAAAGGCAATAGCATTAAGTCCTTCTAGAGTCAGCTTTAGCACCCAGGAGGCCAGACAAGGTAGCAAGGCATTGTGGGAAGAGGGGACAGGGTGAATAGGGAAGAGGCTGGTGCAGAAACCAGCCTCACAGACTGTTAAAGATCTCAGGGACTCGCGCCAAAATTATTTTGAGAATTTTAAATATGACAGTTGTTTCTGATGAATCAATTTATAGCAACAATCAATCATAAGGATACAATGTGTCTTGTATGTTACATTGGTCGAAATGGAATTTTGATTTTACTCTAAATGATCCTAGTAAAAAATTGGCTGTGCTATAACATTGTGCTGTGTAGTGTCTCTGAATGTCAGCTCAGGGAGCTCAAAGCAGTTTAATATCTCTGTGTTAATTTTGTTTGTAACAGTGCCTCTATGTTTTTAAAAACAAAAAAAAAGGAAAAACGACGAAGTTTCTAGTTTAATTGATTTCTGTGAATCATCTTAGAAAATTCAAGGTATCAGTCAGGTACAGTGGTGCACTCCTGTAAACCTAGCATTCGTAGACTAGGGCAGGATGATTACTTGAGCCCAGGAGTGCTGGTCCAATCTGGCCAATCCAGTGGGACCTGTCTCTCTCTTTATTTGGTTTGTTCTCTCTCTCTCTCTCTCTCTCTCTCTCTCTCTCTCTCTCCCTCCCCTTTCTTTCTTCCTCCCCCCGCCCCCACTTTTTCTTTTTCAGTACTGGGAATGAGTATAGGACTACTTCATGCATGCTAGCGAAGCGCTTTACCACTGAGCTACATCCCTAGCCCAAGACCCTGTCTCTCTAAGGGAAAAAAAATCTATTTAGGCTGTTTCTGAGGCCTTTGATAAGTTTTTGAAACCAGCAGTTGGCCCTGTCCCAAGAGTTTAAGACTTTTGCTCAATGGGTCCACTTGTGTCCAACCATCTAAGGGGGCTGTGTCCTAATGTCATCTGTGCCTTTGTTTGTAACTTTCCTCCTCTGTGACAGCCTTCAATGAGGAGGGAGGATGTGTGCATCTTAGAAGGTCTGGAAAGTGAACTTCAGGTTTCAGACAGACTAATTCATCACAGCATGTGGTTTTTACTCACTTTCCACCAAAAGACGGATGATTGGGCTCTGTCCTCCATCACAGATAGAAGACTTTTTTTTTCTAAAAATTCATGTTTTGCTAAATTGATACTATTAAGCCAAAAATGTACTGGGAATGGTGAAGCTTAGCATCAAACTTTAAACAAGAACCCAAACCAGGTACTTGATTTTAAAAACAGCCAGCTTATATTATCCATGAGTGACTCAGGATGGTTTTAAGGCATTCAACTGAGAAAAGAGTTTTTATTCCTCAAAGTTAGAAGAGATATTCATTTTATTGAGAAGTGTGTTTTTTTTTATCATCACTTATAAAGGTTGGAGTGCATGGATTCACTCTGTGTTTGCTTTGAGACTCAAGAGGTGGTGTTGATGGAGGAAGAGGAGCCGTATGCCCTCTCTCTATTGGCTTCTGAGCTAGTTATTTTTTCTTTTAACACAAGTCCAAATTTGTCCCATACTGCTTTTAGTAGAAATATTTCTACCTAGAAGATAGGGCACTTTTTTTTAACCCTAAAATGATTGATACTTGATGACATATATTTTGTGTATATAACTCAGCCTTTTTTTTTCATTTTGAAAATTGGCAAATGTACAGGAAAGTCAAAACAACAGTACCGTGACACACCTGATGTTGCTGGTTGTTAGCATTGTGCCTCATTTGCTTCAAATTGGATGTAGTTTTGAATTTAGCAAAATTAGAAATTATTTTTTGCAGTACTGTGAACTCAGGGCCTTGCACTTGCTAGGCAGGTGGTCTACCTCTTGAACCACACCTCCAGAAAAAAAAAAAAACTTTTAATTACAAATATACAGTTTTGCATCTCAACATTTTTATTACTCAAGCACTCAGGAGAGACAAATTATTTAGATTACTTCATATGTGTTAGTTACTAAACACTTTTTTTTTGTACTGTCACTTGAGTTTTTTTTTTTTTTTTTTTGTCTTTTTGGCAGCACAGGCCTTTGAACTTGGAGCCTCATGCATGGTAGGCAGGCACTTGAGCCACTCTGTCAGCTCTTTTTTTGTGTTGGGTATTAGGAAGTATTTGCCCTGGCTGGCTTCGAACCTCAAGTCCCCTGATCTCTGCCTCCTGAGTAGCTAGGATTACAGGCGTGAGCCACCGGTCCCCAGCTAAAGATAAGACTAAAAAAAAAAAACAACTGAGCTGCCCAGCCTCGAAAATATGGAGCACGATAATTTCTACACATGTATTTGTGTCACTCATTTAAGTGACATAATTACATTTTTCCCTTCTAGTGATTTGGGTAGGAAGAGGCCATGTTTTATTACTTCATCTATGTGGGGTTGATTGAACTGGACTGTTTCAATTGCATGGAAAAAGTCATTCTCACGTTAAATAGAAAATGACTGCAACATTATTTCATGGTTAACATGGTTGCCATCATTTTTTTTGACTGAATGTAGCTCCAGCCAGTCATACACCATTAAAATCAGCCATTCAGAAACCAAAGCCTTATCTGGCATTCAAGGTAACATTAATAATTAATGTATTTGTGTGTAGTGATTAAAAATAAGATTATCAAGGCAGAGCTGTCCGAGGGGAGGAGGATGTAGCAAAGAGAAAATTCAACCTGGATCATGCAAAAAGACCAAGACATGGGCCTTTAGAAGGGAATAGCCAGTATCATCACATCCTAGGATATTGGACACTTCAGCTTGTATTGACTGACAGAGAACAGTTTTCCATCAAGTACTGAGTGGCTTCAGAGGCTGATAGGATCTGTCACTTGTTCAGTCTACATGTGAGATGAACAAGTGAGTGAAAAGAGGAAAGACACCCTAAATACTGAGTATTTGCTCCAAATGTCATCCTACCTGATGCCTTAACTCTTTCCAGGTCCTCTTTAGGCACATTTTAGGTAGAACAGATTTGAGAAAGGTGATAAAATTGTTGGATTTCAGGTTTTCTCATAAGCTTAAATACTTCATGGGACTACTTCTAAAAGATTTTATTATTTTGCAGTGCTGGAGATCAAACCCAGGGCCTCCTGCATGCTAAAAAAGACATGCTCTGCTTCAGAGCTACACCTCCAGTCAAAGATAAAATTTTATTGTGTGCTTTAAGGTTTTTAGGGCTTATTACCAGAATATTGATTCAATTTTTTCTGGTACATTAGCACCCAAACCTGAAATTACAACTTTTGAAAAAATAAAAGATTTAATCATTATTACAGATGATATAATTGAGAATTTCATCTTGGAATTAGTATGAAATTGGCATATATCTCGAGATACCAAAAAGTTAGTTGCTTTCCCATACTCAAGCAAAAAGATGTTTTTAAAATAGAAGAAGACTGTGTAACCATTAATCATGGGAACAAGCCCTTAAAACTTACAAACTGAGGATATGTTGCACCGGGGCCACTATAAATGGAAAAATACACTGTGGTCTTTGCCGATAAAATTAAATATTTTCAGCATGTCTTCTTTCCAAATTGATTATCAAGAAATGCAAACCTAATAATATTCTCTAAGGATTGATAAAATTTAACTTTCTGAAAGAAAAACAATGCAAGAATAGGAATATTGTGAAAGAGGGAAGTATATGAAGTCTTGAAATCCTAGGTGTAAAGACATTTTAAAAGCTAAATATAAACAGTGACCTATCTACATTTGAAGTCTCACACAAATGCAGTACTAACCCAAGAATACATGTTAGGGCCAGGCGCCAGTGGCTCACACCTGTAATCCTAGCTACTCAGGAGGCAGAGATCAGGAGGATTACAGTTTGAAGCCAGCCCAGACAAATAGTTCGTGAGACCCTATCTCAAAAAAAAAACCCATCACAAAAATGGGCTGGTGGAGTGGCTCAAGGTGAAGGCCCTGTGTTCAAGCACCAGTACCACAAAAAAAAAAAAAAAAAAAATACATGTTAGTATAAAATATTACAAAAGAACGTGGGAAGAGACAGATAAACTTTTGGAGAATATTAGTTTGTGTTATAATGTATTCTAAAATCCATATAGATTAAAAATAAGTTAAAAGAATATATTAGTGACTATCTCAGGATGCAATAGAATTTTCCAAGTAAAAGCAATGGAAAGGATTCTTTAAACAAATTACAGATTTAATGAAAGGTATATGTCTTCTTTTTTTTTTTTCCCCTGCACTAGGGTTTGAACTCAGGACCTCACATTTGCTAGTCAGGTGCCCTACCACTAGAGCCACTTCCCCAGTCCTTCATTGTGTTGAGTATTTTCAAGATAGGGTCTGAAGAACTATTTTCCTTGGCCTGGCTTTGAACCACAATCCTCCTGATCTCTGCCTCCTGAGTAGCTAGGATTACAGGTGTGAGTCACTGACACCATGTTCTCTTAATATAAGAAAGCAAGAACAAATGAGATGGGAAAAACTACCAACAGATTTTGAAAAATGGAGGCTTAATACTTAAATATGGAAATGATTTATGGTAATACTTTTTTTTTTTTTTTTTTGGTGGCACTGGGGTTTGAACTCAGGGTTTTGTGCTTGCAAAGCAGGCTCTCTACGGCTTGAGTCATACCTCCAGCCTGTGGTAATACTTTTAGGACAGTTTATCCAGTTCTTGTAGGCCACTGTCAATGTATGTGGCTTCAAGTTCCAATAAGTTATTGGCATAATTCACATCACACACAGTTCACTATTTGAAGTATACACTTCAATGGTTTTTCATGTAATCATCACCACAATCAACTTAGGATCACTGCACCCCCAGAGACCCTGCCGTTTCGCAGTCATTCCCCACAACTCTCATGTTGATATTTTAAAAAGTATTCAGATGCCGAGGAAAAAATAAAGGATCTCAACTCACAGAAGTGAGACAAGGGAGATAGAAATGGCTAATGTGAACAATGCTGACACTGGGCTGGGGTGTAGCTCAGTGGTAGAGTGCTTACCTAGCATGTGCAAGCCCTGGGTTTGATCCCCAGCACAGAGAAAACAAGAAAACAGTACGTTCAGTACTTCACAGTGTGTTCCCAGGCCTTATACTCCAGGTAATCCTGTGAGACACCCCTTTTGTACGTCTTGGATGAAGAAAACATTTTTCCAGCATAGTCAGAGGAACAATTTATCCAGTTCTTGTAGGCCACTGTCAATCTATGTGGCTTCAAGATCCAGATGCTTTGGTCAGTAGCAGTTTTGCCTATACCTCCTTAGAATGAATATATTTATGGAATTTCATTTTCTTATATCAGATGAATGTTAATTCAATAAAAATCCAAATTAAAACAATTTTTGTGGAGTAGATTCGCAGTTTTGGTATTTTCTTTTCAAAAATTCATCTTCAGTATTTAGGAGATTATGCTAAGACTATTATTACAATATCTTAATTATGAAAACAGGTATGGAATAGAAAGAAGCATTCAGAATTTCCCTGAAGTTAACATCTTGATATTTTGAGAGTCATTCCCTTCAGCTCCATAAAATTGTTGCCTGCCAAGTCTGTGTGTGGAGCCTTTTTCACATATG